TGCAGAAATAATGAAAAAAATCATATTTATTGGTAGTGCAATATAACTATAATGCTGAAGAAATAGAAAACGAGCGCGCGTGCTGTGTGCAGTTACAAAGCACGCGGGGGTTGGCAGAACACGAGAGAATTGTTAGGAGAAGCACGACGCGTAGCGGAGTGCCTTCTCGAAACTGAAATTGCGCGCGCGTGCTGTGTGCTCTCATAGTGCAGTTTTCGTATGACTGTGAAAAGCTCAGTGCCGTAAGCGTGACGTGCCGTGACCGTGATGCTTTCTAGAATTATAATTGGCTGATTTTTTTCACGCGCAATATGATTGGTCTAAAAGTGCCGTGATCTTGGCGTGACCGTGTCCGCGCCGTGTTTATGCCGTGTTCCGGGTATTTGATTGGATGGAGAGTAAATTCTCGTGCAATGTGATTTGTCTGGCGTATCCCTTGCTGTGTCACGGCCGTGTTCGTGCCGTGAACTTTTCACAGTCATACGAAAACTGCACTAAAACACGCGCTCCCAACCAATCAGAACGCGAGTTTTGGAACAGTTATTTTATAACATTTTTTTAACCCTATGTCCCTACTTGGGACACTCTTTCGAAGTTAATCCATCTAAATATTGAATGAAAACTGCAGCTATTCAGGAAAAAGAAGGAAGGAAAAAGAAATGTTAGCTTTGTTAAAGGGAGCCAATAATAAGTATAGAGTGCACGCACAAAAACCGTGAATAATATTTAGTACTAATTAGTAGTAATTCATACAGAATCCTTTGTTTCCTATTGTTTGATTATCACTATTTAGTACTAAAAATTAGTATTTGTTTCACGGGTTTAGTGCGAGCACTCTATCTGAATTAGTTGCAAATTGCTAACTTCTATGGGTGCAAAACTCTAAAAACTAAAACAAAATTAGTGTTCTTTGGTACTCGTTGGCTGTKTTTTTCCTATCAACCCATCAAACTAGATAAACTTGAATACTTTATGGCCAACCAGTAATCTTGCAAATCGTGCCATGTTGCAAATCGGAATTGAACGCTATGTAATTCCTAAGTTTTTATATAAAAAATAATACGAAAATCCAGAAATCAAGAACACAGATATCAGAAAGCCGTTAAAAAATCATGTAACATTTTCTGAATTTATATAACTGGATTGTTACTGGTAGAATGAGCTGACTACGCTTTAGTGCAGTGAAAATTGTTATTGGTCATTAATTGCAGGCGTGAACTGAAAAGCCTAGAGTAGTTTCGCTTGCAACACAAGCATCAGCAATATACACAGACTCGTTGCAGCTCTGCTTTAACCACTTGTGTACTACCAGAATCCCTTGCTATTCTCATAAAAGAMTACAAATTTAAACGCAAAGAAAATTTACTTGCCGTGAAGCATTCTGGTAGTTGTAGTAGAATGACTCCATCATGCAACAATCTATTGCTGCTGCCGAGCAACGCAGAATTTGAGTCTGCGTATACTATCGATACTCGACCTGCAATACACACTTAATTTATCCTAATTATCCTAATCTTGTTCTTCTGTCTGTGTTCTAAATCATGTCACTGGAAGAGAACACTGCACCTGTCACTTTTCGTATATTCATCTCTCTCGTACCCTATGCCTCATGTTGTTACCTTTAAATGTAAGACTGAGAGATATTTGGGTACACCTAGGTAGGAACACAATCCCCACTTCCAAAATAGTTTTACTGTAGCTTTTTCCCTCGAGGAAGAATTTTAACGAAGTCGCCCTGCAAAGAATTCTGGAGCTGAGTTCTCATCCCACAATTCTTTGCGGGGTAGTTTCGTTACCAGTCTTTTTTGAGGTTTATTTGGACTTGGAGTGTCTTCAACGGTTTCCAAGTGTTATATTGTTAATGATATTTGTACAAAATTATTARAAGATAAAATTTGCCGCTTGATTACAAACTGATCAGGCTTGATCGTGTTATTTATGTTTGAGCTTGAAGGCAATCATGAAGAATGTGTAATTTTTATCTCAATTTCATGGTTTGAAATAAAAACCTTAAAGGTAAACATGTCTGAGTGTGGCTTGGCTTTGATATTATCCCTTTCCCCTTCCCATCCAGGGGGGTCACAGGGTGCCCGTGACCCCCCTTTCAAAGCCAAAAACAATCTAACCGGCAGTTGATGCAGTGTGTGAAGATTTGTTTAGACTTAACTTAAGCAGTTAAGAAAATCAGTTTTCTCGCTTCTCGGAGCCGTCTTTTCGTTTCCCCTCTATCGACCATGATTCTCATATGACGTCATAATGACAAATTGGTATGTAAGGACCACCCACCCACCCCCCCCCCAATTACAAATCCTGGATACGCTCATGCCATATCGGTTCAAGTAACCTTCAGCCCTACGAAAACGGTCACGCAGACTCTAAGAAGGTCTGCGTACTAAGGTTACGGTTCAAGGAGACAGATTCATATGACTGGGGGAATAACGGTAGACTGACTTCCAACCAAATGTTCTTGAATTAAGTGATTTGGTTGAGAAACGCGCGACTCTGATTGGTTCTGGATACAAGCTATTTATCAGTTCTAGTCATGATGTTGTATGTTACCTTCAATTTCATTGGTCAAGACACTTGTTTCTCCCTTTTCGATTGGTTAAGAGTGGAAGCCATTTAGTAGTCACGGTATTACGTAACTCCTCAATTTTATTGGTCGAGACACTTGAACCTCAGCTTTTGATTGGGCATGATTAAGATTGGAAGCCATTCAGTAGTCGGGGAAAAATGTATGTTGTTATCAATTAATTAATATCAATGAGAAAAAAATGATGCTCACGCTAATAAATTGGTCATCAAAAGTGAAAAAAGAACATCCTAACCATCTCATTCTATACTCTATAAGAATGCAACAGCTCCAATTTTTTTGATTGCTAGTATATTATTTTATTTACAAGATTTGGATTACATTTTTAAAATATGAAACGATTACACAAAATAATGTTACCAAAAATAAGCATTTTCTGACCGGCACAAATGATAAATATGTATTATTTATTTAAATATTTTATTAAATATTATCGAACATTATCAAAGACACAGATATCAAAATACAGTGTAGCGAATGATCCCTGAATGCTGTATGCTGTGAAGGAAAGCCACATGGATGATCGTTTTTACCTTGGGCGTAAAGTTTACCCGTTTTAGACCAGCTGTTATTACCTGTAGCATCTTTTTTTTTGTCTAACGGTTACGTATAAAAAGATATATGAATACGAATACAACTCAAACAAACAATCTTTTTTCAAGAAAATGACACGTGGTCTGAAATGGGAAAACATCACGCCCTAGCTACAAATGGTGAATTGGTAATGAGCTTTTAAGACCCGTTCGTGCAGGAGACTTTTGATGGAACTTTCATCGCAGTTTAAGCATTTTTACAACAAAATTCGCCCGTGCGAAAGAGCCTTGGCAAAAGTACAAGAAAACTACGTGTTTTTCTTGCATCGCAAGAGCGAAAAAAAGCAATATCTAAGTCCAGCAGAACATGTTCCTACAACATTATCTGTAGTTGCTATAAAAAAATAAATCTTACTCTTTTCAAGAGCTATTAATGAGTAACTGTTGCCAATGAGGACAGATGTCTCGAGTCGTGTTCGGAGGGAGGGGTGGGGAGGTCAATTTTTGATAGGGGAGGGRTGGGAGAAATACTATTGTTAGCTTTTATACAGTCAAAATAGAAAGTATACAGATTTGATTGAAGGATCCTTTTGATTGGACCAGAGATTCCAATTTTGGAAATTGTCGACGTTATGATTAACTGAACTAATTGGTCTTACACTGAGTTAAGTAGTATTAAATTCTTAATCATCGAAATATTTTACAGACTGAATTTCAAATTTCTCAAAACTCTCTTGAAAGATCGCCATTATCATCACATCGGTGACAAGTACCTTCAGTTTACGTTTGCATCAGAATTTCTCCAAAAGGGCGGAATTGCTGGTTTTTAATCTTTCCCAAGAGAATGAAATAGCAAAARACACGGCGGCCATGTTGGATGATATAACAAGAGAGACTAATAGCACATTTTTTGTTAAATTCATCCAACATGGTGGCTGTGAAAACCGTCAATACTTAAGCTTACGGTCGCATGTGCTTCAGTGGCTAGTAAAACACATGTTTGTTATATATCTATCTATATACAAAATAGTTTGAATGATGTTGGATGACGTCGACGATGACGTCGGTGCTGCAAAAATTAAGGGGGCGCAGCACTGTTATATCCCAATGAAATTCTTTTTAAGCGTACCATTATTTTTTGCACTAGTGTCGTAAATAAAGTTTTACTTCAATATCTCCGGCTTCGATTCACGACTCATTCTCAGGGCCTCTTGTCGTAGAATGATCGTGCGTCGTCGTATCTTTATTATTGCCAGGTTGCGATTCGTTCTTCTCCCCGCTGCTGTCTRCGTCTTTTGCTTTGTGTATTCTCAAGTGTTTGGTCAGATGGTCGCTGCGCCCAAAAGCCTTGTTACAGATATTRCACCGATGAGCTTTCTCTTTCGTATGAGTTCGTAGGTGTCTTTGTAGTTCGTCCGAACGAGTGAAGCTTTTTCCGCAATGCATYCCATCGACGCTCTGTGGCAAACGTATTAGAAAACAATAAATAGCCCGCTACATTGACGTTTTTTAAGCAAGAGGAAGGATGCGTGTAGCTTGGTTAACGGCGCTTTGGGGAGGGGAGAAGGGAGGAGAAAGGGGAGGGTGAAACTTAATGAGCCTGCGCTCACTCACACTAACCTCATAATAGAAAATTGTATAAAAGAATTCTAATAGAGAAAATGAATAAAGAGAAAGAATCTCAGGCACCGTTAGATGCTAYTTTTAGAATCACATTTACCATGTTTTTTTGAGAATGCGCAGTATTATGCGTGCAGTAAAACAAACGATTATTTGAATGATCTTAAAAATAGCATCGATGACTCTAAAAATAGCATCAATGATTCTAAAAATAACACATAACACATGGAAGAGTGTTAATGATGGGGCGTGGGGATTCTTTCTCTTAGTTAATTTTCTCTTGATTCTGCACTTCATATCGCTCAGGGTAAGGTTAAAATAGTAGTCCAAAATAGTGACCCCATACTGACCAGTGAAAACCCCCTCCCCTCCCCCTCAATACTAGGTGTTCACGATTACTATTTCTATGCATAAATATGTTATTTATTACACATAAAAACCCACAGTATATTCATTTTCTGAAATTTGACTTTTAGTTTCGAAAATATTAATTAAGTAAAAAATCTACAAATTTGTTTCGGTGTAAATTTGATGGATGTAAAGACTTACCCAACTACAGACAAAGGGTCGTTCCCCTCTGTGCCATCTTAAATGAGCCTTTAGGTGAGAGGTCTTGCCATACACCTAAAAAAAACATCACAATTTTACCACCAGAAAAAAAGGCCTCTTCTGAGTTAGATAAACAGGGTGTATGGGTAAAAATAACTCCATGTGAGTTATCGCATTTTGCCAAAAAAACATTCATTTTTGTCCTTCACTTGTTCTCTGTGGGTCAGGTGCTAAGCCCTACCCCATGGGGGAGGGGGTCAATTTGTCTCCACTAGTGAGAAGATTAACTAKAATATTTGGTCTAATCATGGTGTAGACGATGTCACTATAAAATGATCTTCTAAGACAAAATGTTTTATCACTTTAGTTATTTGTGGTAAATTTAACTATTTATATACTCGTGTTGCTCCAGGTTTTCCCCTCTGAGGGCCACAGGTTTTGTTAGGCACTGGTCGTAAAGTGCTACCCTCTTATTAAGACAAGGACTATATACATATTTATATGAGCCAATCAAACATGGCATGATCACATACAGAAAAATAAAATGATTTTTGTAAACATCAATTAGACTTTTTTTTCTTCTATGTACATACGGGTGTAAAATATTTTAAATTTGAATATTGGAAAGTAATATTTAAATTCATTTTAACACTAGATATTGAATCTGGGATTATCTCCTCTCTGTCTTCTCATGGAAACATTCAAGACGATTTCATTAAAACAATAAAGAGATTCATAATTATATCAGAAATYCAGCAGGAAAACAAAAACAAAAACTAGGAAAAAATCCAAGGTAAATTAATAATAAAAATAAGGAGGAAAATTATGTAGGTAGAACTAGAATTATTTGATGTATTGTTGTCTTCCAGCATATTTTAAATAATTCAAAGCTTAGTTTATATTTGAATGAGGTGTGAACATAGTTAGCACCTACTACTCACCTTTCCACAACCAATATAGTGACAATTATGGTATTTTGGCTGCATTGGACTGGGATTACTATTAACACCTGCAACACAGTTTGGACATGCACACTGGCTCTTGCGCCGTAACATGTCTTTGTTGAATGGAATGCCTACAGTTGCGCATGGACCTGGTTTGAAATGATTGTATAGAAAAAATTAATAATCAATAATATGTGATAATAGAATGGGAATGCATGTCTCTGTACTGTGATATAAACACGCTGGGAGCTGTAGAGCATGAGAGATGCAAGTTTAGGAACGCAAGGCATAGCCAAGTGTTCTCCTTCTTGAGTGCTCTACACCTCCCAGAGTGTTTATGTCACAATACTGAGTCATAAGCAGTCGTTTTATATTGTTTTTAGGAGATATTTTTGAACAATATTTTCCACGAGTCTATCTCTTTCCTTGGATATTAACATAGCAGCCAGCCAACCAATCAGCATGTGCATTATGTCTCTTATAGTACACTCAACAAAATTACTCGACTCTGATTGGTCGAGAAGAGTACAATTATAGCGTTAATTGTACTCTGTAGGAGTACCGAATTAAGTCGCTTTGGAAAAAAAAGCTGTAAAAACTAATAAGAACTAATCTTTTTTATGCATTTCAGTTGCGCGATGGACTGAAAATCGGCCGCCAAATAGACAAAGATGAACGGCATCGCTTCGCATTTTTTACTGAAATTTTGTTGAGTGAACTATAAACAAAAAATCACACAATCTTCTCGTACAATTTGGAATTAATAGACACTCGTAATGTTTTGAAAGTTCTTTAATTGTACTACGCCTAAAGGCTCGTGAAATTACAAGAACTTTCAAAACATTACTCGTGTCTATTAATTTCCAAATTATACTCAAGATCATGCAATTTTCTATACAAATGCTTTCTAAAATTATACATAAATTACATATATTGTATAATATTATTGACCCTTTCTATGAAACCTCAGGGAGAGTCAAATTARAGGACAAAACTTTTTTTTGCTATGGAGGTCGTATAGCTCTATAACTCCCTCCGTGAAAATTAATATGTGAGTTATGTATGCATTAGAATATTGAATGTATTGGTTGTCTGTAAGTAAAAGTGAAAGTGGGCCAGACTGTAATCCCTTATAATCCTTAACTAAAACTTGTACAGGCTTAGTCTTGTTTAAAAGCAAAGCATTTGCCAAAGTCAATGATCACACATACAGAATGTGCAACTGCAACAATCATTGCCAATTACTTGTAAATAAATATTATGTTTAGACTTCAAGCTACTTTTTCTTAGAAAATAATCTGAGCTTCAGACATTTTTTTTTTTTCATGGGAAGAGATGATATTAGCTTGAGAAAAAATTTTTTTATATCTCTAATAATTTACCAAGCACAAAAAAACACCTGATGCTTATAACCAATGATATGAATCCCACAGAATGGTATCTAATGGTATCTATGAGCAGCTAACTTATCAATTAACCTAACTTATCAATTAACTGGTAGAAATTAGTATGAAGTCAGTGAAAACCTTGGTAACCATTAAATGAGAAAAGTGGATAAATTTATTGGAAAACAGCGCTAGCATCGACTTATCAACTGGATAAGGATTTATCTGCCCAATAGCACTATCCAGGCTTTGTACAAACGGACCCAGGCCTAGAAAAGATTGGACATTACCCCCAGAAAAGTGACARTATGTTTAGTATGGAATTTGTACTAAATTTTTTTTTTGTTTCCCTAACAATGAAAAAGGAATTTTATGTTGTCACTTACCAACAAAGCCCATTAGTTGTTTATTATTCTGCTGTTCAGAAATATTATTCACATCTGGGATAAGCTTGGAGACCAGATCCGATAGATTCTGTATTGGCGATGTAGGCATCTGAGGTGACATCACCCTTTGTACTGCATTACCTTGCTGTACAATATGTAATGGTAACATATCTGGTTGATGCTGCATTGTACTCACGTAGGGCTGGGATTGGTTGGTAGCATCGATAGGGTACTGTATAGGATATGTTGTTGGGATTGACTGCAAGGGACAGGGTTTTTTAGAATGAACAAGAGCTGCTTCATTGCCAGAAACGTTCTTGTTAGGAACACTCTTCCTCTTGCGAAAAACATCCTTCTGATTCATCACTGGTTTATTTCCATTACTGGCTGCAAAACTGTTCTGGAATGACATCAACTGTCCATTGAAAAATATATTTTCTGGATTTTGTCTTGGAAGGATAGGAACAAGCTTACTTGCAGCAGTACCCTTCCTTGTACTTTCCTTTCCATATTTCTCCTTAGTGTTTGTCTTATTGTTCAGAGTTTTTGCCTTTTTTACTGCAGCTTCCTGCTTGACAATGCAGTTTTGAGGATTACTTTTAAGCTCGTTGGTAATACCAGGAGCAAAATCATCCTTATTCRATAATTTTGAGCCAAAATCTGTCTGTTCAGTGTTAGAAAATGTTGTTTGATCCACAACACCCAAATGTGACAAAGGAATTAAAGATCCATGATTCAGAGTTGAACATTTTAAGCCTTCAGTTGGATTGCCCAAAGCATTAGTCTGCTCTGATGAACCAGACTTAAGATCGACATAAGAAACATGAGATTTCGGTGGCGAAGAATTGTCATACATTTTGCTTACTTGTTTGTTCTCTGCCTGGTCATGKTGATGTGGGCCAGGAAATTCAGCTTCAACTTTGCATGATATTGTTGAATCTTCAAACKGTTTCTTACAAGTTGTTAACTCATTTTTACCCTGGTTATATCCCTTTAGGACATTCCGAGTGAAAGTATCTTGGCTGTCATTCCTGGTCATTCGGTGAGTACTCGACGTCTCGATAAAGCACTGAGTTACTTCTGGTGGTACAGGCATATCTGTTGTAACACCAGCATTACAAGTCTGCATAATATCAACCCTTACTTTTACAGTAGACACAACATCAGAGTCTTTCCTAGGCCAGACATTTTCTGGCTTCACAGTTAATTCCACTTCATGTCTGTATGGATACTGGTTACCGCAGGTCTTAGAATCCCCATTACTCAAACCAAACTCTCCTTTGAGATTCTTTTCCGAGTTTACACTTGAATAATTATATTTTATACCACCTGGGCAGTGTTTGGAAAATCTGTCAGGGCCATTGAATCTAACACCTTCAAAATTTTGGTACAACTTTGGTGCGTTTTGAGACCGAATACCACCACTATCTCTCTCACTATTCGTAAAGCTATAAGGTATTGGTTTCTGAGGGTACTGTTCCAAACCATTGACGATTTTTCGTCTCGTCTGAGAATGACAAGAATGATTGTCATTCTCTGTTGACGACTCTGAAGATTTCAAGTGAGTTTTATTATTATTATTATTCAATAAAAGACGTTTCTTCGAAGGACTCTCAGTGATCTCAGGAATGTAGTTTAGAAAGTCTTCTTGACATGCTTGTTCTAAGGCGTTTGAAAACTCTCTGGACGATAAAATTGGCAGTGGAGTCGTGTTGAAGCTGTAAACAATCTCACTGCAACCAGAACCAAGTTCAGCTCGGGAATCCAACTGCGTTGAATTGGCGTAGGGACAGTAATTATAATACCTTTTGTTTCTGTCGGATGGTTCGAGAAATTCCAAATCAGGGTCGCTGTCATCACCTTTCTGACCTCGGATCGATCTTAACGACTCCAGAAATGAAAAGTTTTTCGAAGTGAAGCCTTCACTTTGGGTAGAGTTTCTCGAAGAACTCGAAACATCGGCTGTATTGTCGACGAGCATCAGCTGTTGTCTTGTTTCTTCCAACTCCATTATCTTCTCTCTTGTTCCTTGGCCAAATTTAGTGATTTCAATTTGTTTATAAGTTCTAAATGACTCTCAAAATTCTCCAAGATTGACACATAGGTTAGAAGTTTAGCTATCACATGTAAGTGTCTTCTTCAAAATCAAAGTTTTCCGTTGACTTGGTTCGAGTTTTTAGGCTCACATCGCCGCGAAACCACCCAAGCAGTCAAACTTAACCAGCACATTGAAAAACAAGAGTATTTTGTGGGCTTCCAAATCATAATTGTTGATTAATTGTTAGGTATGTCCCTAGGGTGATCAACTGCTCTGTTTAGGTCTTTTACTCGCTAAACAGAGACTAGTTATCACTGGCTTGTCTCTTAACGCATCGTTGAGCAACAAGAATCAAATACATGAATAAAAATCCTATGGAAATCATCCAACTCGGTCACTAATGCGATCAATTTGAAAGTCATTTCTGAACTTGAAGAAAACATTCTCTCTTCTTCAAACCATTCAGTTGAAATTCTGCGACAGAACCACCTCCCCAGCCCCCTTGAACCCGTAGTTTAGCTTCCAGGGACGGGTAGGTAGGTACGTTAATGGATTTTATAGCATTTTTTCACCTTTAAAAATTATATAAATACTTTCAGTGCTCTAGTTTATGTTACGTTAACGAAGTGTAAATAAATCCACCAGTTTGACAAACAAAAAAACTTGTGGTTTGTGTAGTGATTACTAAATCTTGTTATCTCGTGCCCAAAGGGATTATTGGTCCGGATGTACGGGAATGGATTTCAAAAGACGTTTTTGTTTTTTGTCTCTTGCATGGCCGTTCCATTAGTGGAAGACGCAGTTCGCACAAAGTTTGTGGTTTTATAAGGACTTGACTCATAAAAGACCCTTTGAGAGAGAAAGAGAGGTGACGTTATCTTCCGTTGTCACGTGTGAATGCAAAATCTCTTGTTGTCGTCTTCGTCCGTACGAGTCGTTGTTGCTGTTATTGTTGTTTAGAATTAAAAAAATATATTTATAAAGAACTACGACATGGCACATCAAAGCTTGACAGTTCGAAGATTCTCGGAACAAAATCTCACAATCTTAACACGTGGTCACGTGACCTGTGCAATTACTAATTGTTATCAGGACGTTTGCATGATGGCGTCATTTGCTACCACTACCAATTAAGATGCTTCGCGAATTTCCTTTCTTATTTAAATTTGTATTCCCTCATGAGAATAGTAAGACAATTAGTGCTAATTAACTGAACAAAAGAAAGTGTGCAAAGGATTCTGGTCGTTGTAGTTAATAACACCATTGTGTCTTTTGACGTTATCTTTACCAACGAAGTCCAACCTAGATTATACGTACTCACTATTTTTTTTTGGTTTTTAAATAACTTATAGTTTTGATGATTTCAATATCACTAGCAATTTGAATTAACAATTTGTTTTATTATGGCCGCTTGAGTAAACCTGATTACAGATCTGTAATCCTTTTGGATTCTGCGCATTCTTAGTTTTTATATCAAGCGGGTGCCCCAGGCCGTAGGAAGAACGTGACTCCATAGGTAACCAACTAAACCTTAATTTCCTGAATCCTTGCCTGAATCAGAATCAAGCAGAGAGGCTATAGGACGTTATCACCGCAGAAATGGCTCCAGTTTAAAGCACTAAGCGGTCGACCAATATCTTCGTTCCTCCATATTTTTCTAGATTTATATTTAACAAAAATAAACAGTGACGACTTTGAGCCGAATCACATCAGATTCTTAGTGTATTTTAATTTTTCTGTTTCCATAGTTGTTTGGGGGCTTTTCTACATATTCCCTCCGGAGCCAAAAGGAGCGAAAACAATATTGATCTAATGATAACGGTTTACATAAAAACCCCAAGGACTATATTGGTACTCTTGTGCGCTGTTGTTGTTTGTGCGTACGGCGAGCGTACTACCGGTGAGAAATATAATCGAATCCCGGTGGGGGGGGGGGGGTACTCCCATATATGGACTATACGGGGATGATCCGCTGAACAGGGTATGGTTTTTCGAGCTTCTTGTCATAAACAGGGTATGCAATTTCACTCAAGTTCCAAATTTTTTCCTGAGTTTCCTGTCATATTCAGGGTTTCTACTTTCGAATTGACCGAAACTGGTTACTATGGTYTTCAAAAAGCGATACGTGAGCTGGCATGATAATTGAAACAGGAACTCAGTGCAATAAATTATACCTTTTGTCATAAACAGGGTCTACGAATTTGAGTTTTTTTGTCATAAACAGGGTGACCCCTTTCAGAATCCCAGCGGAACACCCCTACCCAAATCCTAGCGGAGTACCCCCCCGGGAATCGAACAAAGAAGAAGAATGAAATACCGAAAAAGTAGACACATTATAAAAATATGCAATGCAAAGAAACGTCTTAGAAACAAAACTGGTTAAAACCAGGTAATCTGGTAACCGATATAGCGCTTAATTAACATGGATTGAAGTGCAATTAAGAAGCAAAATAAGTCACCCAGGCAATGAAATGTGTTACTGAAGATGAAATGCCTCAAACTCTCCAGGAATCAGCTCTGCGTTAACTACTTACATGAGCAAATTAATAATAACATATACGACTGCTGAATATCCAGATTTAATACTTCTGAACGTAAGATCCGACTTCACGCATAATGCAAAATTTAGAAGGAAAAACATTAAGTGTACAGAGCAAAAACTCAAACCAAGATTGGCGCGCAATACCCCAAAATAAAAGCTGTAATTTAGAAGTTCCTATGAAAACCTGTTTCTATGAGAATAAATGTTTTTTTGTTTTTTTTGTTTTTTTGTTTTTGTTTTTGTTTTGTTTTGTTTTGTTT